TAGCGAAAACTTGAGTGGGGCAGCATTGAATTATCCAACATATGACAAGGAGCTGTATTCACTTGTTCGAGCATTGGAGACTTGGCAGCACTACTTATGGCCAAAGGAATTCGTGATACACACCGATCATGAATCTTTAAAGCATTTGCGAGGTCAAGGTAAGTTGAACAAAAGACATGCGAGATGGGTGGAGTTTATCGAGACATTTCCCTACGTCATCAAGTACAAACAAGGTAATGAGAATATAGTTGCTGATGTGTTGTCTCGAAGGTACGTGCTTTTAAATTCATTAAGTACTAAACTACTTGGTTTCAAACATATTAAGGGCATGTATGAATCTGATTGTGATTTTTCTAGTATTTATGTTTCATGTGACAAAGGTGCATCTGATAAATTTTATAGGCATGAATGATATTTGTTTAGGGAAGATAAGTTGTGCATTCCTAATTGTTTTTTGCGTGAATTATTGGTAATGGAAGCACATGGGGGTGGTTTAATGGGACACTTCAGGGTTCAAAATACTTTAGACACGTTAGGGGAACATTTTTATTGGCCTAAAATGCGACATGACGTAGAACAAATATGTGAAAAGTGCATAACTTGTAAAAAGGCTAAGTCTAAGGTTCAACCCCATGGTTTGTATACTCCTTTGCCTGTACCTGGTGAACCTTGGGTAGACATATCTATGTACTTTGTGTTAGGTTTGCCTAGGACAAAAAGGAGTCGAGATTCAATATTTGTAGTGGTCGATAGGTTTAGTAAGATGGCGCACTTCATACCATGTCATAAAACTGACGATACTACTAATATTGCAAACTTATTCTTTAGGGAAATAATACGTTTACATGGAGTACCTAAAAGTATAGTGTCTGACAGGGACGTGAAGTTTTTGAGTCATTTTTGGCGTATTTTGTGGAGTAAGTTAGGAACTAAGTTATTATTTTCTACAACTTGTCACCCACAAACAGATGGACAAACTGAGGTAGTTAATCGAACTATGACTCAACTACTTAGGACAGTAATCAATAAAAATCTGAAATCATGGGAAGAGTGTTTACCATTTATAGAGTTTGCATATAATCGAGCTACACATTCTACTATTTCGTTTTCTCCTTTTGAAATTGTTTATGGTTTTAATCCATTAACACCTATGGATTTAATGCCTTTGCATGTGCTTGAATGAGGTAGCTTGGATGGGAAACGAAAAGCCGAGATGGTGAAAATACTCCATGAAAAAGTCAGGATGCAGATCGAAGAGAAAGGAAAGCTGATTGCATCAAAAGCAAATAAAGGAAGAAGACGCGTTACATTTGCGCCTGGAGATTGGGTCTAGGTGCATTTCAGAAAAGATCGTTTTTCAGAACCGAGGAAGTCAAAATTGCAACCACGAGGCGATGGACCGTTTCAAATCATCGAGAAGATCAATGACAATGCATACAAAGTGGATTTACCTGGTGAGTATAATGTTTCAGCTACTTTTAATGTATCCGATCTCTCTCTGTTTGATGTAGGTTCAGATTCGAGGACGAATCCTTTTGAAGAGGGAGAGAATGATATGATCCAGGAGTGGAGCCCGACAAAAGCAAGTGCGAGACGAGACCCGTTGATAGTCGATGGCGGACCAATGACGCGATCAAGGGCAAAGCAAGTGAAACAAGCGATGGGATTACTCGTTCAAGAAACCATTGATGGAACCATGTTCGGGACTCGAAATGGAGTAACTTTCATGCTCGGGTCGAAGGCCGAATCAACTTGGATCAATTTGTTATCAAGCGACGAAAGTGGAGGCTGAAGACAACACCATGCGGCTGCACATATGGTTCCCGAAAATCAAAAGTCCAATTCCAATTGAACCATGCGACCGCATGGATTTACAACATGCGGCCGTACAAGCCAAAAAAATTGGCGAATTTTCTATTTTTGGCCGAATTTCCTAGTTTCGATAGAATTCTTATGAAATCAAATTATTACCATAATTTAATGGTTTTTGACGTTTTTATTCATTAGTATAAATAGGAGATTACTTTTCATTGTAACAACCTTTGAACTTTTGACTTTTGAATTAATATTATAGAGAGAGAAATTTATTCTTTCAATTTATTGTTCTTCTTGAACAATCTTGGAACTTATCAAGAATCAACTTCTTATGGCGTTCTAATCAATCAGATTGTGGGTTCTTTTAGTTGTAATTCTAGGGGTTTTAGGTTCTTCGCTAATCTAGGGTTTCTTGGTTCAATTCTTGGGGTTTAAGATCCAAAATCGAGTTAGTATTGGCGTTCTTGGATTTCGCATCAATCTCGTTGTGGGTTTCGTAGTTTCCATTGCTACGGGGTTCGCATCAATTCCTTTTCTTGAATTTTTTTTAGTTTTTGAATTTTCTTTTATATTTCTTATATGTTTTATATTTCTTCTTATGGCATCCAAATTATTCAACTTGACCAATATCTTTGTAACAACATAATAAATTCTTTCTTATTTTATATGCTTTCTTATTTTCTAGTATTTCTCTGCACCACATGCCTATCATTCTTTTTGTAAATTCAATCCTACTTCCAAGACTATTTATTTTTATTCATTCCTCTTCCCCTAGAGGTAATAATTTCTCATATTCTTTTAATAACTTAATTCCACATGGGAATGGTAATTTAGTAAAATAAGACCTTAATATAGGTTTATTTTCTTGATAATCTCTTTGATTTAGTATATAGTATATTTCTTCGAATTTACATGTATATCTTTCTAGCTTATACATATCACATATTTTTAAATTTTTCATTGCTATCATTTCTTGATTATATTCATCTTGTTTTCTTTCTTCTTCATTAGAGACATATCTATCTCTTAAGAATTATGTTCTTAAGATTTTTTCAAATCTTTTTAATATCTCCTGAATATTTTGTTCATTTAAAGTATTTCTATTATCTAATACTTCAATTCTACCTGCTCCATACTTTATTCTTCCTTTAATAATTTCTGGTAACTTTCTCCACCATTCAAAAATAATTCCTCGGAATGTATGTTCTATAAATTCAAAAACTGTATATATTTCCCATTTATTAAATTGTATTGCTAAATCTGTACTTTTCATCCAAATTTCTATAGCTTTATTTTTATCTACACATTCTAGATCTAACCATACTTTTATTGTGTGGATTGGTTCATTATAGGTTTTCATTGAATTTATTTCCTTTATGGATTATTTTATTATATTTCCAGTGTATCTTTTCTGTATTTTTCTATATTGATTAATATCAGCCTTATCAGGTATTGTGGTACCATAAAGATAATCATATTCTTCATCACTGCTGAATTCTACTTTTATATTTAGGCTTGATGATGGATTAGTATTCATCTTTATATTTTCCATTTTTCAGTTAATTCTTTTAACTGTTTTTTATATTCTTCATACTCTTCACATGTAGATTCTAAGAATTTTTGTTCTATTTCTTATACATCTGTAATTATATATTGTTTTTCTTCATGTTTTTTCCCTTTTTCTTTTTGTATTATCCTAAAATCTTGAGGTGGATTAATTATAATCCTATCTTTTCCTTTAAGATTTTTGTCTAAAAGAGCGTTTTCCACTTGTAAATTATGTTCTAAATTTTCTAATCTTTTGTGTATATCCTCAAAACTTTCATTTGTGGTGTTTTTAGGTAAATAGGGATAACTAGGTTTTTTATGTTTTTCAACTTTTTTCAAAAATTCTTCAATTATACTTTCTTCATCTACTATATTCATCATAATTTTTGGTTCGTAACATGACTCTGATACCATTTCGTCGGAGTGTGCAGCGGAGGGGTTAAGATTTTTGAGCCAATTAAAATCTTCATAAGTATTTAAAATATCACAATAAAATTTATAAAATTCACTATCTTTTATTAAAACTTTTTCTTTAATAATTATATTTAGTTCTTTAATTCTTCTTCTCAGGTTAAGAATTAGTTTATATATATCATTTTTTGTTTTGATTGTTCTATTATCTATAGAAATATTTTTATTTTTTAATTTTGGATCTAAATATTCTGTAAAGAAACCTTTCAAATCTTCTTCTAAATATTTTAATTCATTTTCTGTTGCGTTTTTTAGATCAATAAAATTTTGTATAAGATTTGGGTTTATATTTATTAAAGATTTTTTTATCTATATTTCTTTGGGGACCTAATTGAAAGTTTTTATACATTGTAGTAGCTTTGATTGCAATTTCTCAATGAGGTGTATTTTTGGATAGATTATTGTTAAAAGGCTATTTCTCGTGGTCTAATCTTACAAATCTCTCTTGTATTTAGGCTATCTATAAGTATTTCCTCAGATATGTTTGGGGATGAAATCGGGTTAAAGGCTGATTGGGAAGTGGGTGGGGATTAATTTAATTTTAAATTATTATTAATAGTTAATTTATCACCTCATTAATGAATAATTAAACCTTAACTTGATTCTAGAATTCTAATCCTTAAAAACTGGCCGCAATGTAATTTCCACAGAGGGTATTCGTACAGCCCATACCTGGTGGGACCAATAAATCCAGCAATTATGGGCTCGATCCAGTTTGTCCAAAGCCTCCCCAATTCATACCAAACAAAATATCTCTTTTTAGGTGCTTGTTCATCAATTGATTCAATTCTACTTCAATATTGCAGTAATTATGTGAATAAAATATTTGAATTGTAATTTATGAATATTTTATTATAATAGTGTACATGATGTAAAATTCCACAAAAAAGAATAAAGTCAAATGACCCGCAAGAATGATCACACCAATGACCGCGCATTCACATGAATGTGTGGGTTTCGCTTGAATAAAATAATATCCGACCTCCTAGTGTGTGTATGCGATCATCGCAGTTGTCAAACTAATGTTCGTGTAGCACGGTTGCACAAAAAATATCCAAATTCTTGCTCAGTCCATTTAAAAAAGAAATTGACTCCGTCCAGCTCAACTTGCGGTTTCTCTCTCTTATCATTCATTTATCATTGAAAATATAATAATTAAAAAACATAAAACATAAAAGGAAGAAGAAAAATTCAGAATTAAACGACAGCCCGGTGCTGACGTCCCTCATACACTTCGTTTATTAGATCCCTCTTCTCGCTTTTCTCCGATCTGGTAATTTATTTCTGCATTTCTCTTAAGTTCATCAATATTAATTTTTTCCAATTGCAAATTCTTGATGTTATGATTTCTCCGATCCTGAAATAAATCTATAGGATTACCTTTTTGCCAGGTTTTTGTTTTCTGTTTTTAATTTAAAAAGAAAGGATATTTGAATCAAATCAGATGGCCGCTCCACCCGCCAGAGCCCGAGCTGATTATGATTATCTCATCAAGCTGCTGTTGATCGGCGACAGTGGTACGTGTTTTCCGCGCACTTAAAGATTTTACATTCTGATTGAAATGTGTGGACAAGCTTTTATATTTGATATTTGATTTTTGGATGGGGATTTAATATCTTTTGGTTATTTATTTGCTAGAGCCTTTTGTGATAGGAAAGCCTAACATGTCATATGATTTGCTGGTAATCTGTGTTTAGGCAGTTATAAAGATACATGTTAGATGAGAGTAACTTTGTTTAAACCTAGATATCTGCGAAGTAATATAAATGAAGTGGAGGACTAACAGGGTGAACTGCCAGTTTTCGGATACGAGATATCCATCCTAGTCACTATGGGCGTATTTGCCCAATTGACACATATGAGGGAATCAATGTTGGACTTATTGGATCCTTAGCAATTACGTGCGGATAATTAAATCTTTTCGATTTTGTTATTTTGGGCAAAAGATGCACTCTTTTACAGTTATGGATGCACATGTTTGATTACATGTTTAAGGCTGTTCCCTAATGGACTGTTGCAGATTACTTGCTTTTGTGTGCTGGTATGCACGTGTATCTATGAACTTGTTAATTCTTAATTATACAAAATCAAATTCATAAGAGATTTTTTTTTTTTTGGAAAAATAACTTAGGGTTTCAATACTTTTTAATCACCAAAATAAGTGTTTTGGAGGAATTGTAGGAGTCTGAAAATTGAAATGACTAGAATTTAAGTGAGGAAAGGGAACAGGCCACGGATAGTTAATATTCTAAAAAAATAAGTCATGATGCTCTTTGGAGGCTCTGGTAAAATTTTTGCTTGATGTGAAGATGATAAGTTGTGAACCTGACTTTAGGATAATTATTGAAATCATGTAGTGAGCCGAAGTGTGCTTATATTATATAATTTTAAAACTGGATGAGGCTTGAGAGATTTTATGATCTGGTCTATAAAATCACGGTTACTCTAAAATTAGTAAAGCCTGTCTGAAGGTGTCTAGCTGTCCATTTGATTCACATTTAGAATAACTGATTGTTAATTGTTGCTTTCATGAATGTTAGAAACCAGGGATATTGACCACCAATGGCAGTATAGTGTTTCCGAAGAATGTTTTGGAACTGGGTGAATAAATTTATCTTCGGCTGACTTAAAAAGCCTTTATAATCCTATAATCATCCGCCGTATTCAATTTTATGACTAAAGAACCTTTGTCTGCATATCTTTTTCCATTTTTTTTTATTTTTTTTTTATTTTTTTTTTTTGGGTTCAGTTTTTCTGTTTTCTGATAATATAATAGATTTTTCCGTTTGAATATTAGTTTAGCATTATTAAGATTTAAGAAAAAATTCAACAATGTATATTTCAGGTGTGGGTAAGAGTTGCCTTCTGTTACGGTTCTCCGATGGCTCTTTCACCACCAGTTTCATAACCACCATTGGGTAAGTATCTTTCAAATGCACCATAAATTCCTCCTGCTTGGATTTTCCACACTCACCGTCATGCTATATCTGATTCGATTTTCTTATGCAGTATTGATTTCAAGATAAGGACCATTGAACTTGATGGGAAACGAATTAAGCTACAAATTTGGGATACTGCTGGACAAGAACGATTCCGAACTATTACCACTGGTATGCATATGATCGATGCAAAAATCTACTTCCCTTTCCATCTCTTTTTCTCTAGAACCCTGTTTGAGTGGCACCATGTTTTTGTGCAAATGCTTTAAAGTTTATTGCATAGGGAACACTGGAAATTCTCTAGATGCATTTATATGCGTGAGAGTAGCAATTCCTTAGAAGCGCTGTGGATAGCAGAGATGAAAGTATGGGAAAGAAAATAAATTTTTAAAAGGGTAATTAGCAAAAAAATCCCTATCGTTTATTGCGAAAATTGACTATATCGTTTCAAACTTGCCATTTGCACCCTCGTTTCAAACCTTTCTTCCAGAATTGATCACTTTTGTCATTGAAATCCTTCTATGAAATATGTGTAATTTGACGCGAAACGCCCCTATCGTTTGTTTTAATTGCGTAAATGGTCACTATCATTTCAATTTTGACATTTGGACACTCAGATCGACATTTTTTTTGCTTAAAAGGTTCTTACCGTATATTTTTTTTTCATTATAACATTATAAAATAACTAATTTATAATCATCTTTAAATAAATAAATAGGAAAAAAAAAAGAAATAATATAAAAAATTGTATATCTTTGTAGTTTTATTTCTATTTTAAAATTTTATAAATTACAAACAAATCTCACGTAAAATAATTTAAAATATTCTAATAAAAAAAAAGTTATTTTTCCAATTAACCCACCTACCCTTACTCCTATGCCTATCCTCCTCCACCACCACCATAAAAATAATTAAAAAGAGAATTAAAAGTACAAAAAACATATGACGAGGAATAAGCACCATTTTTTTATAATTTTTTTTATTTTTCTATTTTTAATACTTTTTTATACTTTAAATTATCTCTTCAATTTATTTTTTGGTGGTGGTGGAGCGTAGGGGTTGGGCATAGGGGTAGGTGGGTTAATTGAGAAGATAAAATATTTTTCTTTTATCAGAACGTTTTAAATTATTTTACGTGAGATTCGTTTCTACTTTTAAAAAAAAATGAAACTCTAGATGCAATTTTTTTATATTATTTATTTTTCTCTATTTATTTATTTAAAGATAATAATAAATTAGTCATTTTACAATATTATAATGAAGAATATTGATGGTAATGACAAGTGGTAATGAGGGTGTAAATGTCAAGTTTGAAATGATAGGGACCATTTTCGCAATGAGTACAAACGATAGGGATGCTTTTTGCTAATTATCCTTTTTTAAAAAGATCACATCCCATATTACCTACTGGTAATTGTGAAGACAGACTTTTAAACTCTGTTGGGTTAGGGGAAAAAAATTGTCGTACTTGCAATTTATTACTTTTCATTCTACTTTTACCCTATAAATTTTGAAACAGTTTACTCCTACAAGAATGTTCTTTTGGTGAAATTTTCATATTTGCCCTTTTAGTGCGCATTTACATTGTGAAAATAATTTTTTACCAACACTAGACTCCAGGGATTTTCAATTTTGGAGAAGTTTGATCTCAACAGTAAACCGTGTCATAAAATACATACATATTTTGTCATCACTTTGTTCACTATCTGCATGTAGTTGCTGAGATTCTTCTCTCGTGAAATTGGCAAGCTTTCTTTTCCTAATTAATTTCTTCTTCTGCAGCTTACTACCGTGGAGCAATGGGCATTTTACTGGTGTATGATGTGACTGATGAATCGTCCTTTAACAGTAATTACTCCATGTCCTTATCATCCTTTCTTATTGACTTCTAATTATCATCCCCTCATTGGGCCAGTAGAGGATTTTTTATTTGTTTATATTGGATCCTTTAATTACGACTATTGTTTGTTATTGCATTTGAATTTTCAATTGCACGACTAACTTTTCATGATGCAGTATGTTCTATCTTTTCAAAAAAACTCAAAAATGACTTTTGCCTCTGTTTAGACATTAGGAATTGGATCAGAAACATTGAACAACATGCTTCTGACAATGTTAACAAGATATTGGTGGGTAATAAGGCTGACATGGATGAAAGCAGAAGGGTATGATCTCTCTCTCTCTCCCGCCAAAAATATATATAGCATGTGTAGGCATGCATGTCTCTGCTAATTTGCATGGGTATGTTCATATTCATGCACATTGTTCTGATGGGGAATATCTAGCAGACTAGAGGAGATAAATTAACTTGGAATTTGTCAAGCATTGTGTTGACACATAAAAATTCAGCCCAAATCGAACGGCCCAAGGAATGAAGTCCAATTGGAGGATCCCCAAGTCAGATAGCCCAAAAAACGAAGCCCAATCAGACAATTCAGGATGAAGGCCCAAATAGGGAGGCCCATGAACGCGGTAACACCATCGCCCAAGATTGCAAGTCGTCCAGGATCTGAACGAATAGAGTGCCATGCAGTCGCCCAGAGCTGTTACTCTATTCTCGCCCAAACCTTCGAGTGGCCCAAGGTCTTAGCAAACATGAAGTATTATGGTTATCAAAAAGCGCAATTATCAAAGCAGTTATTAAGCAGCCTATCACGTTCCACGATTCAAAGAATTCAATTGAAAACGGTTGAACGACAAAGAGTAATGGCAGCAGCAGTTAGAAAATGCAGTTCCATGACAAGTTGGTCATTACGAGGAAAGTAGGCAGTTATAGAACGATCAAACAGTTTTTAGGCGGTTGATCACAAAGAGATCATTCAGGGAGTATAAAAGGAAGAAAAGACATAGAGCAAAAGGACCCCGAATTAAAAACTCTCGAACAGAGAACATGTAACTTTAAATTTCTTAGTTTAGATTTAAACACTTCTTTCAGTAACTTGTGTACTTGCGCCCCTTGGAGGCATTCTATTTTTACTTTCCGATTGTAAAGTCATCACCAATAAAGAACACCCCTTTTTTGGACTTTGTCTCAAGAGGTCTATCCCTTACACAATCGTCTGATCCCTTTTTAATTGTTAGCGACGAACCCGCGCGAAACAATTTGGCACGCTCGGTGGGACCGTGGTGTTTGGTGTTGAAAATACAAAAGGTGAAACAATATACCTCAGAGATCCGATAAGGAAGCAGCAAGTCAGGGAGGAGTCCAGTCTGTGATTGAGCGATATGAGGAGCAGCATGCCTCTCCACGAACAGATGGACAAAATCAGAGCAGTAACAGTCGTTACGAACCAATGACAGAGTTGAGTCCTCGAACTATGCGTGCACTACTTGGAGAACTCACACAAGATGTCGTTGAACAGATAAATCTTCGAAATATTCATAATATGGAAAGATTTACCCAAAATGGGAATGCACATTATGACAGCATGGCCAAACAATTAAACACTTTGAACAAAATAATGAATAAGTTAGTAGGCCAAATATGTCAACCGGTTCTGCCTCTTGCAAACCACTTTCAAATTAGGACAATTGTGGGACATAATCCCTCAATCCTAAATCCGAATCAAGGGATAGAACCACTTTCTGGTTCCTCTACTTCAAACCAAGTGGGTGGTGCAGTGCCAAATCAGAACAATGGTAGTGGTACGCCTAACTTGGGGGTAATCCAAATGTAAGAGATAATGTCCTAAACAATGGACAGAATACCCTACGTGTTAATGAGGAAATAGACGTTCAGGCTAATGGTAATGGCCCAAATTATGGTAACTTTGTTGCCAATCAAGGACCAAACATGAGGCCTCATGCAAATCAACTGGTTAACCAACCTGTAAGAATTTCATATGACCCCAACGTCATGTTGAGAAATCAGATTATGGAAATCGTACAGAATCAGATGGCTTTTGGGGTGCGTCCTGTCATTAAGCCGACTTACACAAAGCCATATCCTGATTGGGTAAACCAAGCATATCCATGGCCTAGAGGGTATAAAGTGCCAGAATTCTCACTGTTTACCGGTTTAGGGAAGGTGTCTACTCTAGAACACATAGGGTGATTCACATTGCAAAGTGGTGATGTAACTGATTACCATAAAATAAGGTTTTTTCTTAGTTCATTAACAGGAGTAGATTTCTCCTGGTTCATCAACTTGTCAGCGAACTCTGTTCAAACATGACAATTATTGGAACAATTATTCCACGCTCAGTTTTATAAAACTGAGTTTGAAGTTACTTTGGCTGATTTGGCGAATCTACGTCAAATGTCAAACGAATGTGCAGAAAGTTTTCTCCAAAGGTTCAAGACAGCAAGAAGCAAGTGTTTTGTACCTCTGCCCGAAAAAGAATTTGTCAAAATCACTCAGGGTTGTTTGAGCTTTGATTTAAAAAAGAAATTTCAAGACAAGGAATTTCCTGACCTTTTCCAATTGAGTGCGAATGTGATTAGGTATGAATGATTGATAAGCGAAGAAGAGCAGATGAAAAATTCTAGTAAAGGGACTTATTACAAAGACCCAAATTTTGACATTCATACCATCAGCGATGAGTCATACGATCAAGCCGAAATGTGTTTGGCCGAATTAGTCAAAGGAGACACGTATAGTTGTCCTATAATGGCTAAGCCTAGACCATCGGGTAAGGATGAGCCCATGAAAGATAGAAACATAAAGGCTAGAACGTTCTCGTTCGATGTAATCAAAGTTGACCTTATATTTGATAAATTATATAGGGATAAGCAGATAAAGTTGAGCGATAAGCATAAATTGTCAAACCCTGAACAAATTAAGGGTAAAAAATATTGTAAGTGGCATAATGCATGGTCACATTTGACTAACAATTGCTTGGTTTTTCGCCATGTATTGCAGGATGCCATTGAATCAGGATGAATTACGTTCGACGATAAGAAGAAGATGGCAGTGGATGAAAATCCTTTTCCACAGCCACTTGGAGTGAACATGGTGACGTCTGGTTTCAAAAACAAGTTGCCAAAGTTCAAGTTGGTCATAGATGATGGAGAAGAGGACCCTGGACCACATCCCAGTGTTTTTGAACGAATCAAGGGGAAGGAGCCGAAAAAGGACGAAGATGTCCTGTGTGCAAAATGTAAAAGAGAAGTGAGTGGGAACACGGAGAAACCAGGCATATGGCAGCATCCCCATCGCCCTACTTTCTTCCCAAACACTCAGCTTGGTAGAGGGCGAGGTACATCATTCTATAGAGAACCGCCTTTTGAGAGGCAGTTCCGGCCAGTAGATAATGGGAGAACATTCAGGCCGCAACCCCGCTGGCCAAATGTATGGCATTCGTTCCAGTATAATGCAGGAAGGGCAATACCCTTCGATGAAATTACTAGAATCCAACAAAGGCGTTTCCAACGAAACTATGGACGAATGATGAGGCAGCAACAGGGAGTGCCACATCCTAAAGCGTCTAAACTACTCAAGGTAGCCAATCAAAATGTTCTCAAAGATAGTGAAGAAACCGGTACAGATGAATCAATGAAAGAGCTAACAGAAACTTCTTCTGGGAGATCAAAGTTTGAGCGAGACAGAAGGGATGGAGAAGATCCAGATCAGCCCCTTACTATCCAGTTCGGTACGTTACCTCCTGTCGTGGCTAATAATTATTTACTGGCCAATGAATTCAAGAATAAAGGAAAAGAAGAAGAAGAAAGGGAGGACAACGAAGGAGAGGCTTGCGTGCTGGAATGTGAAGAAGGTCAGACTTCTAGAGAGGCCTACAATGATGAAGAAGGCGACGGGATAACAGACATCGAAGAAGAAATCGACCTAGAAGCAGAAAGAAGAAGGAGAGGAGTATCGCACAATACTCTGTTGAAGCAACTACATCGAGAGGGAGTTCGCGAAGTAGACTTGTTGGGAGAACCATCTGGACGTTCTTTCGATTTTTACGTACTGTACGGGACGCCCAAAAGGAAGAAGAGAGTGTCTCGCTCTGAAAAGTATGGATCACCTCCAAGAATAATGCCCCCTCCCACAGGTTGGGTAATTGATGAAGAAACATTAGAAAACAGTAAGGAGGAAATTCAGGAGACAGAGGCTCAGCGCGATACGTTGCACGTCGACTTATCACAGAGGGATAATTTGATAGAAAACAAGCAGGAAGTAGAAATAGAAGCTGCTGAAAAGGTTATTTTTAAACAGCCAGCTATGAAATTGACTAAACACTTGAGGTCATTGTACGTTAAAACTCTAGTTAATGGCATCCCTGTGGCAAAAGTGCTTGTCGACAATGGAGCAACTATAAACACCATTCCATCTAGGATGATGAGGAAATTTGCAAAGATAGAGGGTGACACGATTCCAACAGAAGTCATCCTTACGAGTTTCAATGGAGGAGCAACTTCAGCTAAAGGAGTTATGCCATTGGATATAACTATTGGGACAACTACTAGGACCACAGTCTTCTTTGTAATAGATGGTCCGACTAGTTACAATGTGTTACTAGGAAGAGATTGGATACACGGAAGTCGTTGCATACCCTCATCACTCCATCAATGCCTGGTCTTTTGAAACAACAAGGGTGAAGCAGAGGTGGTGCAGGCCGATCATAGGCTTTTTGTCGTAGAAGCAAATTCAGTGAAAAGGTTCAGGTACGAAGAAAACTATGGACCTGTCAGGCTAGTCCAAGATGGGGAAGAAACTCAGATCGTCGCATAGAGTGAAGAGCCATTTTCAGCGGACGCACTCACTGAAATGTTCAGCCAAATGAGACCAAATATAGTGGTCTTAGAAGAGCCAGTAATTGGCAAAAGAATAATCAAGGAGTCTTGAATGGATTCTAAGCTACAAAAGCAAATGGCCGATAATCAGGCCTTCAAAGCCAGATTAATGGCTTTCAATAAAGAATGCAAGGACAAAACGAAAGAAGAGGCAGCCCTAAGAGCGCTGAAAGACAAATGGGCAGTACTCGAGTTAGAACAAAACATTGCCCTAAGAGCGCTGAAAGACAAATGGGCAGTACTCGAGTTAGAACAAAACATTGGCCGAGAAGTCAACAATGTGGACTATTTAGAAGAAGAAGTACTTACAAGGGAACTGGACGACGAATTGATGCGGATCATCAAACCTGGATACGCTCAAGCACAAGACCCTCTGATCAAAGTAAATATTGGCAATGAAGGAGAAGATCGTCCAACATTCATCAGC